TGGTCAAAGTGACTTATGTTCATAAATGGCAAGCTGTGTGGTATTATCTGGTTAAACTCCAGCATTATCCCAATGCATCTTGGTTTCCCTCGCCTTGGTTTTTGTCTTTGTGAAATTAGGTGAGCAGAATGCATTCCTCTGGGAATTCTGAGTGCTTCATTCCAGACAAATGAAAATTTCCATTCATATGTGGACATTGCAGAAGTTTGGTTTGGATACGTTTAAGCACAGCAATGCGTATGCAATTCGGTGTGTGAAAAAAAAATACATTGATTTTGGAATAACATTTTTCTGCATTTCTAAAGACATTAGTCTTGGATATGCTAGTAAGCCAGCATTGTAGTAACTTTTGCAGTTACTCAATATCCGATTGTCAAATGTTAATATTTTATATAAACTTACTTCTTTGCAGAGGTAAGAAAGGAAAATGAATATTTGCCACCTTTCAGTCTCGGTTATTGGGTCACACCTTTTATTCAAGAATGGAACACTTTTCTTTAAAAGTACAACTTTCTTTCTCCATTGGTGGAAATGTACTTTGTTTAAAACTAGACTTTAAAAAAAATCTGGCTTGAAACAATATCATTTATCAGTCATGCATTTTTTTTATATTGTTCTGCTGTGTTTTGTTTTGTTTTTGCCTTTGTGTTTCAGCTGTCATACATGTTGTCATCTTCAATCCCAGATTTAGATACCAACCAAACTGACTCAGGCGATTCATGCAACCTTCCCTTACCCGAGTCTAGCCTGACAAATGTGACTGAAGACAAACGTGGTATTGGGGAGCGAAGCAAAACACAAACAGAGAATGATGCTGAGCATTTTCAGGGTGTGCAGGAATCCACTTCAGATCCTAAGGCAGGTGGCAAAGAAATCAAGAGGCAGAAATCTCTCAGGAAAAAGTTGGAGGATGGAGTAAATTTCTCCAGCCGAATCCAATACTAGCTGAGTGCTGTATATTGGCACCCAAAGGTATCTGGAAGCTCAAGGCTAAGAACTGCATGTTACCACACTGAAAACAAACTAAAATACAAAGTCACCCTACCAGTGTTATGCCTGCTGTGCATGATTTATAATTCTGAATTACTGGTATAAAGCATGTATGTATATGACATCTGCACCAATAACCACACATTTTGTCTATGTGTAGTGGTATACTTAGTCTTACTTAGTCTTCTATATAAATACAGTAGCTACTTAAAGAATGCTGATTGGGTGATAATGTCTATTCAGACATTTTCAGACATTATGCTTTGACTCATAAACTTACAAAGATTCAAATTACAAAGATTAGTTTGAAGTCCTTACAGGTCTTCTCATAAAATGTACAGTCTAGTGTAATATTCCTCTTCCATACAATCTGTTAGAGTAAATATGTTTGGCATTACAGAATTATATGATATCAAATTATTAAATCTTTCAGTGGAGTATTAGAAACAGAAATGTGAGTATTTATCTAAAGTAGGATTCAAAGTGAAGGTCAATTTTATTTCCAGTATTAGAAATTAAAAAACTGATTATTGGTGGAATATAATTGTTTGCCTATAATAGGATAATGGGATCCCAATAATGGGATCTAATTAGTGCTATTTCTTAACTGGATTCCTCAAGAAATGCAAATTGTCCAACAGGGGTCTCCTTACGATAACCAGAAATATCACGCAGAACTGCAGGAAATCTATTCAGAAATTATTTATTTCCGGAGCAAGATTCCTGTGGGTCAATGGGAATTCTAAAAGGATTCATTATTAAGAGATTCTGCAAATTAGGCATTATAAAAGTAAGTCTTGGGATATCAGGAAACATTCAGTTAAGAAAAAGTAGATCATCAAATAAAATGATGTAAGTTATTATAATTATTGTCTTTGGAAGTTTCACAGAAATTGTTAATTTCTATAATGATTTGAAACCTAGGTCATGTGCATGTAAAATTTAATAGTATTAAGTAATAAAGTACACCAATCCTAAAACCTAGCGGGCTTGGCTTATGATGTGTAGTGATGAAAGCTAACTTGGGGAAGGAGTAATTAAAATAGATATAATATTGTCTTAACCTTTACACTGCAAGTGAATTTTGCAGCACCTATGTCTAGTGATGGCTTTGCTCTTTCTGTGCTCACCACACTTGCTGGCTATTTTCACACAAATGGCGACACAGCACTTGGTCAAACAAATTAAGGATGAGAACCTTCTGAGAAGAGCACTTCGTATTTATCAATTATATTGGGTTCAGTGATTTTTTTTCTGTATTTCTGTCACGTTTTGGTTTGTTGCATGCTTCACATCTGTCATAGAAAACATTATAAAATGCCAAACCTTTTGATGTTTGCCTGTGTTTACATGAACTGTATTTACATATGGCTGAAGATGTCTCCACTGAGTATGATCTGAGCTAGTGTAAAACTAACTTTTTTAGAAACTTTTTAGATGAATAAAACATTGTTTTGCTTCAGCTTCATTTGAAAATTGTACTGAAGTGTTCAAAGTGAATGTAACGAACATAGTTCACCTGAATATCAAATGATAGGATGATTATTACTGGCTGAATCAGCTGTGCTGTAGACTATTCATATGCTTTGGTGGATCATAATCAATTTATACTATGTAAAGACTGAGAAATATCACTGACAACAAGATCTGTAATCACTCTTGTTCAAGTTAAAGGAAATACTGTTATATAAAGTACAATGCTTAATCCTCTCTGCAACTATATACCTAATTTGTTTCTCTTCAATATCAACTTTTAGTATGGCCAAAGGTACTTCATCATAAAACTTATATATGATCAATGGTATATATATTAAACGTTCATGTAACCGCATTTGTTAGTAAAATTATGCTTTACAAAGAATGAGAAGGTACGAAAGTAGGCCATTCAGCCCAACTAGCACATGCTGTTGTTAGCCTCCACCCTTCCTATGGCATCAAGTTACCTCTTAAATATGTTGATGCTATTGCATCAACCATAGTTTGCAGCGGTGAGTTCCATATTCTCGCCATCCTCTAGTAAAGATATTCCTCCTAAACCTCCTTTTGGATCTGCAACTAGTTATCATGTGCCCCTCATTTTGGATTCAACAAGTGGAAATTGTTACCATCCATATTCATATATTTAACCCCTCTATCAGGTTCCCTCTTAATTATCTCAACTCCAGAGAGAAATTCTTATTTGTCCAATTGTTCTCAATAGCTATATTGTGCCTCTTTAAGAAGACAAGCCAAGTGGAGCTCGCAAAGTATTGGATGGGATGTAAAGCCCCATTTCACTCTGCCACAGAACACAAGGGAGCAAGAAAACATATCGGAAGGGTTTGTCCGCTGCTACTAAGAGGTCTACACAGCTGCTTTCTCATGAATAATTAATTGTGCTTCAATCCCGGAGAGGTGGGGGGGCGCGGAGGATTTTAAAAGAAAGTATTTCTAGAACTAAATCTCCAGCAACCCACCCATTCCACATAGATCCCACTGAAAGAATATATTGCATGGAGTAATTTTACTTTATTTTACAGTAGTTCTTTACCCAATATGACTTTTCCCTTTAACTTCTGCAATAGTTTTTATGTTTAAGTTGTATGCCTTCAGAGAAATAATAATATACAAAGTCAAATGAATGAGGATGCTAGTTCATTTAGCTTGCTTGAAACAATTACAAATTCTATTGGTCAAAAACTGAGCACCTGCTTTTTAAATCCTAGATAGGAAATTATAGTTCAATAGAAAATATTTGTTTTTTATCACTAGAACATTTAACACATCTCATTGCTATAATCCAGGAGTAGAAAGTGAACAATGTAGTTCTGTGAATTTATTCTGCTGTGAGTGCTCTGTGTAGCAAACTTGTTGCAGTGCTGTTATGCTCATCAGTTAAATTTGATTACCTTATTTCCTGTGCACTTGATATATTTAATGACATTTTAAATATACATAGTTTACAATATAAATACTTGAATCTGTCATGGAGGGTTACTCAGCCCTAAGAGACCAACTTTGTCACATTTGAGCAGACTTCTTCAGACACGTGCTTGCAATGCTTGTCACATTGGCCTGTCAGATATATGTACACAATTCTGTGCTTTGAGACATCCTCCTGACATGAAAGTGCTATAAAAATATAAATTGTGTTGTATATCTGCAGAAACTAGGCAGAAGGTTGTAGGGTGCACTTTAATGTGAAATAATCTAAATAAGATTTTGCAGAAGAAAGGATTGTATGGAATATGTATTGAACAGAAATATGTTTAAGGTATCAGAATTGGAGATACATTTTGGTGATATCACAAAAATAATGCTATAGTTTTTGCAGGAAGTTAATGACCAAAATGTTCAGATATGTCGTGTGTAATGTAGAAGTCGAAAGATTTATAAAAATGTATGTGGCATTTTTAAGGCCACATCTGATCTACTTGTGCAGTTTTTGTTTCTGTATTTCAAAAAAAATTCATAGGACCACGATGAGAAAAGATTGAGTGCCCTGGGATTTCTCGCTCTAAAACAGTAAAGACTTGTTACTTGTTAGAACGTTTGAGAATACGAAGTGTTTGGATTTTTTTTCTGTTGTCAACAAAAATCAAAAACTAGGGGATACAGCTTCAAAATAAGGACAACAAAATAGGAAGTGCAGATTATTTTTAACAAGTTTCTGATGAACAGACTACAATACTAGCACAGGTATAAAACAAGAAACATTTGTTTATAGAATTCAACAAGCAACCAGAAACGTTCCTGTCAACTACAACTATTCATGTTTATTAGGTTTCGAGATAGATTATGTACTGTAGAAGGAATCCTGTGGGAAATTTTGAAATGGGTGAATGAAGTGTTTCTCCTGCCTGAAAATATACATAAGCACGCAAGTATAAATTTGCCAAATTTACATAAAGAAGCCAACAGCAACAAATATGCTACATGGTGGGTGTAAAAAAAATCTTGGTACCTAACCTGATGTATATTGTGAAACTATGAAGTTTGATAAATACCTATTTACCTTGTCTCTTTTCCAGAAGCAACGGAATTAAAACCCCAGGAGGAGCTAATGGACATCTCTGAAGTGGATGAAGGATTTTGTTCAAGGGCTTCAAATACAAACATTGCAATTAGTAGTGGTGGTAATAAGACACCTGCTGGCAAAAGTCAAAGGAAATCACTAGGTGGCAGATCTGGCAGGGAGAAAGAAATGACAACCGAGATCTGTCGAGAACACCTTGTGCGTAAACAAACTCCGAGGGCTACAAGTGAGAATCTGGAGCTGCTGTCTATCAAAAGGCTAACCCTAACTAGTAGCCAGTCACTGCCTAAACCAGGAAACCAGAGTTTGGCTAACACTGTTACAACTGTATTTAGTAAATCCTTTGAACAGGTTGGTGGTGTTCTTGCTGCAAATAGTCCAGCTAGTGCCATAAGTGGGAATATTGGTGACTCGAACAGATTCTCAGCTTGCAGCCTTCAAGACGACAAACTTGCACTTGTGTCTGATCGAGCAGACTCTCACATTTCCACCGTACAACAGCATAAGCAACAACGCTCACCCAGCTGTAATATTCATCTCTCCACTGATATGTAACATTCAAACATGATCTATAACGAACTGTTTGCAGTATTTTTTGTATAATTTTGATGTATTTTGTCAAACAAGATTGCATTGTGAACATGCTTCTAGTTTTAGAATTTAGTCCCATGCCTATATTTACAAAAACTCATGTTGGTTGAACAAACATTAACGGAGTAAAGTATTGCTAGATTTGCACCAACCATAGGTTGGGAAGGAGATAAATGTAACCTATTTGCTAATCGTAAACCATATTCATCCAAAGCCTGACTATGTTTACTACCAACAATATATGGATTTAATGCCCTCTATACAGTAAACTATTAGGGGAAAAAAACATTAATATGCATCTTCACTGTTTCATAATTCCTTAAGTTTTTAAATGTATACATTTTCCTGTCTTTAAAAATATGAATTGCTATACTCCAATAACTCACCTAGTTTCTTACCTAAAGAAACAGCCTTGTATAATTCCTTTTCTATAAGTTGTGTGATCTGTAACTTGTTTGATTGAGAACTTGTATGCATTGTGTTGATTATTTCTGCCACATTCAAAATAGGCGAATTTTATTCAACGGTTTCAAGCAAAAAAATCATTTTGTGAACAGTGTAAAATCTGTAAGCTCAAGGCAATTATGCCAATATAGCTATAATCATTGGAACTCTACTTGACTAAGCATCTTGTAGTTTAGAATCACTCATCCTGTTGGATATATATCTTAATGGTCACTTCTCTAGTCATTTTTCAACACAGATGTAAATACAAATTTGTATCTAACAGTTTTTATGCAATGGCTAATGTGAGAGGTAGATCACATGTAATGTTAACATACTAGCTACAACCATTCTAAGTAAGTGTAACTGGTACGGTTATTACAAAGATCAGTTTCCGTTTGAGCTTTCACTTCAGCACTTTGTACAGAAATACTTGTTTTTTCTGCCATTTATAGAATGTTAAACTTATTTGTACTAAATTACTGTGTTCCTGATTTAGAGTTTAGAAACTATTGCATGGCTAAGATGTGTTCATATTATGTTGTTGGAAGAAGTCTAATTAGAATACAATATTTTAGTACATAAAACTTGTGTACTCATTAATTTCCTTTATGCGTATTGTTTCACATAGGCTACAGTACTGAAACAGGTCATTCGGCCAATTACTTGTGTGTTTTTTATATTCTCGTAACAAATCCCATGCCTTAGTCTCCTCCTATACTCGTCTATGCCCTTCTCCCCCATGTCCGTTTTATGTAAAAGGAAAAAAGAGCTGGATTTTTAAAATCCCTCTTTCTCAGTGATAAATTCTGCAAGGAACACAATAGTTATTGGAAGGGCAAAGGTAGCCACCCATTAAAGTGATGTAATTTAAATTGTGTGAAGCATTCTGACATAGCAAGTTGCATTTGTACATTGTAATATAATTCTCAATTCTGTTTTAAACTACCGGTGTTAGTTTCCCAGCCACAAGCACATCCACACAAAATTGCAGCGACACACATTTGTGCCACAATCTTGGCAGTGAATTGACACCAAATATGCAGTATAAATGTGGGTTAAGCCATTGTGAATTGTAGTGGTCTTGCTTCTGAAGGATAGAATCATACAGCACAGGAGACCATTCGACCCATCGTGTCTGTAGCGGCTCTTTGAAAAGAGCTATCCAATTCAATCCCACTCCCCCGTTCTCTCCCCATAGCCATGCAAACTTGTTCTCCCCAAATAATTATCTACTCTCTCAAAAGCTGTTATTGAATTGGCTTCCACCACCCTTTCAGGCAATGTATTCCAGATCCGAGCAACTCGCTGTATGAAAAAATGTCTCCTCACCTCCCCTCTGTTTCTTTCAATAACTATTTTAAATCAGTTTCCTTGGGTTACCGTCCCACCCGCCAGTGGAAATAGTTTCTCCTTGTTCATCCTATCGAATCACCTCACAATTTTGAAAACTTCCATTAAGTCTCCTCTTAACCTTCTCTGCTCCAAGGAGACTAATCCAAGCTTCTCTAGCCTCTCCTGATAACTGAAGTCCCTCATTCCTGGTACTACCCTAGTATTTCTCCTTTGCACCCTCTCCAATGCCTTGACATCCTTCCTAAAGTGTGATGCTCAGAACTGAACACAGTCTCTAGCTGAGGTCTACCCAGTGTTTTATAAAGGTTCATCATAACTTCCTGACTTTGTATTCTATGCCCCTATTTATAAAGCCTAGTATCTCGTGTGCTTTTTTAACAGCTTTATCTACCGATCCCGCCACCTTCAAAGATTTACTTATATGAACCCCCAGGTCTCTGTTCCTTCACCCCCATTAAGATTGTACCATTTAGTTTATATTGCCTCTCCTCATTCTTCCTCCCAAAATGCATCAAGTTGCATTTCTCCACATTTAACTTCATCTGCCACATGTCTGCCTTTTTACCAGTCTGTCTATGTCCATTTGCAGTCTGCTACTATTCTCCTCACTGTTTACTACTTTTCCTAGCTTAGTATCATCTGCAAACTTGGAAATTGTACTCCCATTGTACAAGTTCAGTTCATTTATATAGATCAAAAACAGCAGTGGTTCCAATACTGATCCCTGAGGGACACTTCTACACACTTCCCTCCAGTCAGAAAAACAACTGTTTACCACCACTCTGCTTTCTGTCTCCCAGCCAGTTCTGTATCTATGCTGCCACTCCTTTTAATACCGTGGGCTTCTATTTTGCTTACAAGCCTCTTATGTGCACTTTATCACGTCTTTTGAAAATCCATATAAACTACATCAACTGCGCTACTTCATCCACCCTCTCCGTTACTTCATCAAAAAGGTTGCAGCAGCATTGTGAGTTGTACCCACTGCAAAGTAATTGAGACAGGTTTGAATCAAATTGGGTTCAATCTTCTGTGCTCTTGAAAAATGTGTGGTTCATTTGATCATGCAACTGGCTTTACAATAATAAAAGATAGACACAAAATGTTGATGTTTTAGGCATGCATGTACAAAACTCCAAAATCAGTACTGCCCCAATGGGATGCAGAACAGGAAATATAAGTGGGATTTTCTTGTTCCACACCACTACTCACTAGTGGTTAAACAATGTTTCTAATGTGCATATAATTTGTTTGATAACATTTGAACAGATTTGAAAAAAGAATGACATTCCTGTTTAATAATCAATTTATACAGTTCTGATCTGTATGTATTTTACATATTAATATACTAATTTAAACAGTTTTGATAGTTATCCAAACATTCTATGTGTTTCATGCTTCTGATCTTTTAGGTGAAGATGTCTCACATGCACTTTTATTAACTCAGACTCATTCCTTAGAGGTTGATACAAAAGTTCTAGAAAGCCAGATAAAGAGAATAATGTGCAGTCAACAAATAAATTGAACAACTCTGGATAAAATATGATGTAACTTTAATATTCCACAACCCTGCAAGTTTTTTATTGTAATCTGTGAAGGGCCACATTGCTTTTCATATATGCATTCTTTAAGTACATAGGACATTTTAATTTGAGATAACTAATGGGTACTTTTTTTGTGTTTTTTTTCAAATACATGGATACCCGTCTGCTGCTCTGACTGCCAATTCTATATTTGGTTATACGTATCTTGACTAGAAATAAAAGAGAAAAAGCAAACTTATGTACAATATTGGTTTAAGAGTAACAAACTTTATGGAGAAATTAAATAAGATTTATTGAATTAGAAGCATAATCTTCATCTTGATTGTACTGTAACTTAATTTGCATTTATTGTTCATGATTTAACTAATTCGATTATTGTGAACTAGTTTTGTCCTTTTAAAACCATGGATGATTTGGGAGTAATACAAAGTAATAACTTTATTACAGAAAGCTTAAAACTATTTTTTAAAATCAAGACATGCATCATTATTCTGCTTATTTCCTACCAACTTCGGAATAAGCTGTTGACCAGTTTACATTTGATAAGACATGTGAAAGGGTTGAAATTTTGAAATATAATTTAATTACACCTATTTACTGTATGCACAAGTTTTATAAATTGTAAGGAGATCTAAAAAGTCAATCGCTGAAGTTGAGCTATGCTGCTTCCAAAAAACTCCCAACTTTTTTGTTATACGTTCCAACCATGCACTTTAAATTATATTAATAATAATAATCCTTGCATTTGATATAGCTCTTTTCACATCTTCTAGAAGACTCAAAACGCTTCACAGAATATGCTGTAAAGTGAATTAACTGTATATTTGTGGGTGAAACGCAGCAGCCAATTGCGCACAGCAGTGTCACACAAACAGTCGTGGATTGAAATTGACCAATTTATTATTGTTTTGTTTTTTGGAGGGATTATTATTAGGTGTGTGGAGTAAGGAAACTTGCCCAAGGTTTCGCTCTGCCTGGAATTGAACACAGGTGTTTCGCTTGAAAGGCGAGTGCTCTAACCACTGAGCTACAGGACTCCAAATTTAGTTACCAATTATCATCCACACAATTAATGGACAACATAAAAATATTCAATTGGTGGACTGATTTTATCACATTGTGAAATGAAACCACTTGAAAGCTCTTCTGATATGCAATTGTTTATAATTGGTATAATTTAGATCCTAAGGTTCGTAGTTTTCACATTAAAAAAAAACATTGGTATATTGACCTTTATTTCAAAATATTTTGTACAGAGGACACTTGAATGCTACAATTTTTGTCTGCATAATTTATAGGTTAATTTTAAATAGAAAGTCTCACAGTCGGAGCTCTTCTTTGAAAGGAATTAATTGACTGCTTTTTGCTCTGACACTGTCAATTTGTGATTTTCTGCAGTTAAGTTAGTCCTGATGGATTTTTGTAAAATGACTAAAACATATGTTATGTTTAACTAAACCAGCATGAGCCAATTTAGAAATGTATCAATTACCAATAATATAACGGAGCTAATAATTTATGGTGACTAAATGTCAAACCTCTTCCATTACTTGGGTTCTTGACTGGATCACTTTCTGTCAGTATTCTCTCAGTATAACAGTTGGCCCATCGTGTCTGTGCCGGTTGTTTGAAAAGAGCTATCCAATTCAATCCCACTCCCCCGTTCTCTCCCCATAGCCCTGCAAGCTTGTCCTCCCAAAAATTATCTACTTCTCTCTTAAAAGCTGTTATCGAATCGGCTTCCACCACCCTTTCAAGCAATGTATTCCCGATCCGAACAACTCGATGTATGAAAACATTTCTCCTCACCTCCACTCTGTTTCTTTTAATAACTATTTAAATCGGTACCCTTGGGTTACCGTCCCACCCGCCAGTGGAAATAGTTTCTCCTTGTTCATCCTATCGAATCACCTCACAATTTTGAAAACTTCTATTAAGTCTCCTCTTAACCTTCTCTGCTCCAAGGAGAATTCTCTGCTCCAAGGAAATTACTTCTAACAAGCTATTTTTCTAAACATAGCTGGCTCCAAGGTGATGTGCCTGGCATTGAAATGTTGGAGTTGATTTTGGCAGCCTTGGTAGTCTGGTTCCTGTGCCAGGTGGGTCCACAGTACTCCATGGCACAACTGGTGACTGACTGATCAAGTGGTTAAAGCGCAAAACATTTCCAATTAACTGATTCTCAATTAATGTGGACAGAAGTCTAAAAGAAAACCTAGTATCTCTTCTGTGTGGAGGCTCTGTTTTCCTTCTGAGACTAAAATTTGCAAATGCACTTTAAAAAAACTATATACAGTATATTAAAATATTACAGTTGAAGCTTTAGCATCCAAGGCTGCACTCTCCACCTCTCAAAGCCGGTCAGGAACCTCGGCGTTCTGTTCGATCCTGAGCTGTCCTTTCTTCCTCATATCCGCGACACAACTGATACCGCCTTCCATCACCTCCGGAACATCGCCAGACTACGGCACTACCTCACCCCTCACGCTGCTGAAACCCTGGTCCACGCCTTTATCACCTCAAGGCTGGACTATGGGAACTCTCTCCTCGCCGGCCTTCCCGCCACCTCCCTCCACAAGCTGCAGGTCATTCAGAACTCTGCAGCTCGTGTACTGTCCCGCACCAGACACCGCGACCACATCACTCCCACCCTCGCTCGCCTCCACTGGCTCCCCATCCCCCAGAGGATCGAATTCAAGATCCTCACCCTCATCTACAAGGCCATTCACGGCCTCGCTCCCTCCTACCTCTCTGACCTACTATCCCCCTACCTACCTGCCCGTACCCTCCATTCCTCTGGCTCTGGTCTGCTCCACATCCCCCGCACTAACGCCCTACCATCGGTGGCCGGGCTTCCAGCCTCTCAGCCCCTAGGCTCTGGAACTCTATCCCCAGTGCCTTCGCCGCTTCCTCCCTTTCCTCCTTCAAGGCCGGTCTCAAAACCTTTCTCTTCAACCGTGCCTTCAGCTCCCCTCTCGACTCTCTAACCCATCCTCGCTCCCTCCCTTCCCTCCCCTCACCCTGACCATTTCCCCCTTGCTCGGGTCCTGACCCAACTGTCCAGCGCCTTGGGACATCCTCCCGATGTGAAAGGCGCTCTATAAATGAAATCTTGTTGTTGTTGTTGTTTAGTTTTCGAGGTTACTTGTGTGAACATTCTTAAAATCTGTATCAACGCCAACCTATAGTCACACATTTTTATGCAGCACAACATATTGATGCACTCAGTAAATATAGCCCCAATATTTCCTAATCACAAACTATCTGAATTCTGTCATCATCCTCTCTGCCTTTCCCCACCTCCCCAACATCACCCTGCTCCGCCACTGTCTCACATCACAGGTCGCCGAAACCCTTCAACGCTTTCATTACATCGAGGCTTGAATATGCAAACTCCCTGCTTGACGGCCTCCCCAACTCCACCCTCTGTAGGTTGCAGATCATCCAGAACTCTGCAGCCTGTGTGCTCTCCCACACCAGACTCCACGACCCTAAAACCTCCATCCTCGCCCAACTCCACTGGCTTCCCATCACACAGGATACGGTTCAAGATACGGGTCCTCACCTTCAAAGCCCTCCATGGTCTTGATCTCCTTTACCTCTGTGATCACCTAACCCCCTACCATCCTACCCACTCCTTCCACTTAGCGGGTCCATTCTGCTTCACTTCCCCCGCCTCGCCCACCCCACCATTGATTGGTGGGCGGGCTTTCTGCCACTCTATCCCTGTCCTTTAGAACCCCATTACGCAATCCCTTTGCCTTTTCCCCTCCCTTGCCTCCTTCAAGACCCATCTCGAGACCCTCCTCTTTGCCTGCGCTTTCGATCTCCTGCTTACCCCACCACCCTCCACCCTCCCCAATCCTGACCCCCAGCTCGGGTCCAAAACACTGACTGTCCAGTACCTTGGGACGTCCTCCCAACATGAAAGGCGCTATACAAATGTAATTTTGTTGTTGTTGAGGTTGTTGTATTTTGGGTTTATCCATTGCTTTTTGTTTTATTTGGGGTTATTTTGCATTTGCGAAAAACATGGGACTCTAGTTCAAGCCCCATTTTAGGCCTTTTAACACACAGTCCAGACTAACAGTCCAATACAGTGCTGGGTCTGTGCTGCATTCCATGAGATGAGGAATGCCGTCCATCGGATGAGACATCAAACTGAGGTCCCGTCTGTTTGTTCAGGTGGATGTTAAAGATCCCATGGCACTCTTTGAAAAAAGAAGGAAGCATGTGTGATTCCTACCACATCATAATTACCAATTAGCCATGCCTCAAGTTCCACCTTTTTATTTCAAATGCTCCTTGCACTTACGGGTATGTATCTAATTATACTTATTACCCCTTAACCGTCCTGTCTGGCTGCCTGGTCTTGCTATCTAGGGCTTTATGTGATTTTATTGCTCCTGATTTAGATATTTACCCTTGTTTCTTTTTGTTTTCTTTTTCATTTTAAGTTCAACCCTTCGCATCTCTTCGTGATGATCAGTGGGCCTGAATTCCTTATTATCTACTATTGCATTCCCCTCTCCCTCTAAATCTAGTTTAAATAAAACCCAATTACTTCTCTTACGTTTTGTGCCAGCAGTTTAGCTCATCATTTAGTTAAGTGAATGTTAAATATCTCATGGAACTATTCAAAAAGAGAAGCAGCATTGCAAAAGAGCATTCTGCCTATGAACAATTTGTCTTCTTGAAAAAATTCCCAATTGTCGACAAACTCATTTTCCTTCAGCGCACACAATTTTCGTAACCAGTCATTGAAGTTAATTATCCTGCTCATTCTTTCTGTATTCCCAGATAATACAGGCAGCAACCCAGATACCATCAGGTTTGCATCCTTAAACTGCCTACCAAACCCATATATTTCTTTATAAGACACAATACAAGTTACATTATATAGTGCATTTCATGTTGGGAGGATGTCTCAAAGATGTCTCAATGCTGGGAGGGTACCTGAGCTGGGGGTGGGATACAAGGAGATGGGGAGGATAAAGATGTCTGAAAGTGTGGTCATAAAGGACGTTTTGGAACATGCTGTTGAATGAAGGGAGGGAGTTGGAGGGTTTCTATGATGGAGTTCCAGAGAGTGGGGGCAGAATGGCTGAAAGATCACACAAGATTAGTTTGGATGATCTCATTCTGAAGATTACGCACACTACCATCCTCCCATCACAGCATAAAGCTTTTTAAAAGAGTCCAGTGTCCTGGCCTCAACCACCCTTCCTGGCTACCTGTACCAGTCATTAATTACTCTCTGAGTAAAGATAAACTTCCCAGTATCTTCTGAAATGGCCCACGACAGAGACGAGGCATATGTCAGACTCAGACTGCACCCAGGGATGCTTAGGGAACCCAGGGAGGAGAACGCTGAAGCTCTAGTGTGTGTGTGTGTGTGTTTATATATATATATAACTCTACAGTAAGGAGCTTTGGCAGAGTCCTGGAGGCTGTCTAATGCAATACCTATTTTTAAAAAGGGTGTGTGAGGTGCAGTGTGTAGAGGGCGCTGTGTGTGTGTGAGGTGCAGTGTGTGAGGTGCTGTGTGTGTGTGTGTGTGAGAGGTGTAGAGGTCGCTGTGTGTGTGTGAGGTAGTGTGTAGAGGGCGCTGTGTGTGTGTGTGGTGCACTGTGTAGAGGGCGCTGTGTGTGTGCGTGAGGTGCACTGTAGAGGGCGCTGTGTGTGTGTGTGTGAGGTGCACTGTGTAGAGGTCGCTGTGTGTGTGTGTGTGTGAGAGGTGTAGAGGGCGCTGTGTGTGTGTGTGTGTGAGGTGTAGAGGGCGCTGTGTGTGTGTGTGTGTGTGAGGTGTAGAGGGCGCTGTGTGTGTGTGTGAGGTGCAAGGCGCTTTATAAATGGAATCTTGTTGTTGTTGTTGTTGTAGAGGTCGCTGTGTGTGTGTGTGGTGCACTGTGTAGAGGGCGCTGTGTGTGTGTGTGTGTGAGAGGTGTAGAGGGCGCTGTGTGTGTGTGTGTGTGTGAGGTGTAGAGGGCGCTGTGTGTGTGTGTGAGGTGCAGTGTGTAGAGGGCGCTGTGTGTGTGGTGCACTGTTTAGAGGTCGCTGTGTGTGCGTGAGATGCACTGTGTAGAGGGCGCTGTGTGTGTATGTGTGAGGTGCACTGTGTAGAGGGCGCTGTGTGTGTGTGTGTGTGGTGTAGAGGGCGCTGTGTGTGTGTGTGAGGTGCACTGTGTAGAGGGCGCTGTGTGTGTGTGTGTGTGGTGTAGAGGGCGCTGTGTGTGTGTGTGAGGTGCAGTGTGTAGAGGTCGCTGTGTGTGTGTGTGGTGCACTGTGTAGAGGGTGCTGTGTGTGTGTGTGTGTGAGAGGTGTAGAGGGCGCTGTGTGTGTGTGTGTGTGTGAGGTTATGTGTAGAGGGCACTGTGTGTGTGTGTGAGGTGCAGTGTGTAGAGGGCGCTGTGTGTGTGGTGCACTGTTTAGAGGTCGCTGTGTGTGCGTGAGATGCACTGTGTAGAGGGCGCTGTGTGTGTATGTGTGAGGTGCACTGTGTAGAGGGCGCTGTGTGTGTGTGTGTGTGTGGTGTAGAGGGCGCTGTGTGTGTGTGTGAGGTGCACTGTGTAGAGGGCGCTGTGTGTGTGTGTGTGTGGTGTAGAGGGCGCCGTGTGTGTGTGTGAGGTGCACTGTGTAGAGGGCGCTGTGTGTGTGTGGTGCACTGTGTAGAGGGCGCTGTGTGTGTGTGTGGTGCACTGTGTAGAGGGCGCTGTGTGTGTGTGTGTGAGGTGTAGAGGGCGCTGTGTGTAGAGGGCGCTGTGTGTGTGTGTGAGTGTGTGTGTGTGTGTGGTGTAGAGGGCGCTGTGTGTGTGTGTGTGTGAGTGAGAGGTGTAGAGGGCGCTGTGTGTGTGTGTGAGAGGTGTAGAGGGCGCTGTGTGTGTGTGTGTGAGTGTGTGTGTGTGTGAGAGGTGTAGAGGGCGCTGTGTGTGTGAGGTGCAGTGTGTGTGTGTGAGGTGTAGAGGGCGCTGTGTGTGTGTGTGAGGTGTAGAGGGCGCTGTGTGTGTGTGTGTGTGAGTGTGTGTGTGTGAGGTGTAGAGGGCGCTGTGTGTGTGTGTGTGTGAGTGTGTGTGTGTGAGGTGTAGAGGGCGCTGTGTGTGTGTGTGTGTGAGTGTGTGTGTGTGAGGTGTAGAGGGCGCTGTGTGTGTGTGTGTGTGAGTGTGTGTGTGTGAGGTGTAGAGGGCGCTGTGTGTGTGTGTGAGGTGTAGAGGGCGCTGTGTGTGTGAGGTGCAGTGTGTGTGTGTGAGGTGTAGAGGGCGCTGTGTGTGTGTGTGAGAGTCTCTCTGTGCGGGACCTGGTGGTGGTGGTGGAGTCGGGGCCTCTCTCTCTCTCTCTCTCTCTCTGTGCCGGGCCTGGTGCAGGAGCTGCTGGTGTCGGTGCAGGAGCTGCTGGTGTCGGTGCAGGAGCTGCTGGTGTCGGTGCAGGAGCTGCTGGTGTCGGTGCAGGAGCTGCTGGTGTCGGTGCAGGAGCTGCTGGTGCTGGTGTGGAGCCGGTGGTGTCGGTGCGGTGTGGAGCCGGTGGTGTCGGTGTCGGTGTGGAGCCGGTGGTGTCGGTGTCGGTGCGGTGTGGAGCCGGTGTCGGGCCTGTGCCGGTGTCGGGGTTTGCAGACGATGCTGGCGCTGACCAAGGAGACCAAACAGCGGCTGCAGCAGCTGTTCCGCTGCGGACAGACGGCCATTCGCTGGGGATTCATCCCGACCGTCCTGTACCTGGGTCAGTGCCCCCCCCACCCCCCCCCCCCACCGGGGCCGCTCCCGGGGTACACCCCCCGACGTGGGCCTGGGTTGGGGGTTGGCGGGGCCTGGGTTGGCGGGGCCTGTGTTGGGGGGGGAGCTGCTGGGGGTTTGCTGGGAGCAGCAGCACGTGGTGTGGTTGGGATCTGCTGGGATGCCCATGTCCCGAGTTTAGCCGCTGACCCAGTGGTGCACAGACCTGTTATTTTGTGTGGCCTCACCGTGTTGCCCCGGTTACCGGCAGCCGCAGGGCTCGTGTTCGCTGATAAAACGCTTAGTTTGTCGTACGAAAAAAAAGGAAATGCAGATAAACCCCCGGCGAGCTCGACCGATGGGAAAATCCGGTCCGGCGATTTTCCAGCTCAGTGTCATTTACAACGCCGGGATTGCGAAAAAATGTATTTCAAATGCCAGAAGGGGGCCGGGAAATTGCTGCAAGACTACTTGTGGCCATTTTAGCCGTTTTGTCGTTGGACCTCGCAAATTTTTAAGTCTAGAATCATTGATCTTACAGCGCAGAAGGAGGCCGTTCGGCCCATCGCGCCTGTGCCGGCTTTTTGAAAGAGCTACCAATCAATAATAATAATCCTTGCATTTGATACAGCGCCTTATCACGTCTTCGAGACGTCTCAAAGCGCTTCACGGAATATACTGTAAAGTGAATTGACTATTTTGTCTCCTCGCTCTTATCCCTGAGCCCTGAAAATCTTTCCTTTTCAAGTACATACCCTTTTGAAAGTTACCCTTGAGTCTGTTGGAGATTTTTTAAGCTCTCCTGCAACAAGATGCAAAACTGCAACTTTCAATGCAATCTGGTAACTTTCCGTAATCTCCATCTCCCAACTTTTTGAGCCAGCTTTCACGTTGGGAGAGACGGAGAGGAAAAGAGAGACAGTGTTGCCAGATATCACTGGTGAAGGTCACCAGATGGACTTTGAAGGCAGGAAGAGGCCTGATATGAACTTGTGAGTGAAGGGTGTGATTGGAACAATGAAGCTGGAGACGGTTTCAGAGATGGGGATGGAACAAGAGCATGAAGAGATTTTTCAAGGTCAGGGAGAGGATTTTAAAGTGGGTGGGGCACGTGGATCTTAGAGAGAATAATAATCCTTGCATCTCAAAGCACTGCACAAGATTTATGTAGAAGTATAGAGACTGTATTTATAGACTGATAAGTCATGGTAGTAGCATAGCACTATGAGATTTGATGTTTCAAAGTCTCCCAAATTAGAGCTACCTTTGACAATGCAGCACTGTCTAAACTACAACAGCAATAATATGCATTTATATAGTGCCCTTCAAGCAGGACATTGTCTTGGAATGCTTCTCCAGGTCAGGATCAGGCTAGGGCGAGGGGGAAGAGGAGGTGACCGTAAATTCAATCAAACAAATAGGATTCTAGATGAGATCGGCTGAAACCTCTAGATTATGGAACAGTGGAGACTGGCAAAAAGTGCTTTGGAAAAGTTTAGTCAAGAGGTAACAAAAGAGTGAATGACGGTTCAGTGGCATTTGGTGTAAGATGGGGGTGTAGGCGAACAAAGTGGTGAAGGTGATGAAAAGTGGTCTTGGTCAGGGAGCGATTGTGAGAAAGAAAAGAGAGCTGAGTACCAAATTGAACACTAAGGTTGCACAGTAGTTCAGTGATTGAGAGAGAGGCCAGGAAGTTGAGATCAGAGCTAGAAGTGGGGAGTCTTCGCTTGAAGTCGAGGTGGTTGGCTTCCGTCTGGTCCATATTTAGCTGAATCAAATTGAGGCTCATTCAGGTTTTGATGTCCTATTGCCAAGCAGACAGAACATCAGTGAATTTTAAATCGAGTTCCGCTTCCATTAAGCGCTCCAAGATGGTACCCTGTGTGAAGGGCACTTTATAAATGCACATTGTGTTATTGAAGTGGAGACTGCGGCCACATGACTAAAAGGTGAAAGCGCAATCAACTGAGCCAGGATGAGATCGAGGGTTGAGGGAAAGGATACAGGCTGCAGAGTTCTGGTTGAGCTGGAGCTAGCGAGGACGACCAGGGAAGCATTTCGGAAATTTTATCTCCAAGCACAAACGTGTGCACGTACACTGGCTTGGATTTCCAGAGTGAGCAACTGAAGTTGAATGCAGTTGGCACTGGGGACTCCCAAACAGGATGGTTTCAGTTTGGTTGTTGTTCAGCTGAAGGGAGTATCCACACCAATGTTTGCGAATATCCAAACCAGACAAATTTTCACATTGTATGCCACCCACCCATGGAAATTTCCTTGCATCTGAAACAAAATGCACACTGTTTCCCTGGAGGGAGCAGGTCGGAAATAGCCAAGGCTTGGGGACCACGATGTGTGCATTGGGGTACTGCTGGAGTTTAACCATTTAAAAACATACAGCTTGCCATTGCGAGCACTGTCTTTGAAGCTTTCCCACTGCTAGTCTAGCCAGGACTACCCCTCCCGTTAAGGCTTTGGCTTGCCGGGTTAACAGCAGCTAAGTGCAAAGAATGGCCCCCTGCCCCCAATGACCAATTCTGCTTCTCTTTAGTCCTGCCAACAAACCACGTTTACTGGTCTGTTGTCTGCAGTGCTTCAGAGTACTACAAACCCACCTGGCTCAGCAAGTGGATGACCCAAGACCTCCACAGAGGTTTGAGTTGATTTTGACATTCCATTGTCCCATTTGTCACCAAATATGTCAGCTCCAAGGAGACCCTCTCACCTCTCCCGTCCCAGGAGGATATTCCTTTTGGATAGGAGAAGAGGATAGGTACTATAATTTTGTCAAGGGATCTTGATGTCTTCCTGAATAGGAAGACGGTACCTCCAAGAATGTAGTACCCAGCATTGGACTAGAATGTCAAACTAGATTATGAAGTATGAATCTTAAGTCTCTTTCTGGGCTTGAAGCCTTCTGACCAGGAGGTGAGAGTACTACCAACTGAGCAAGGCTAATGTTTATAGATAAAGAAAAAGAGAGGACTCTGGAATAGAGCAACTGGGTAAACGTGGTGAAGCCATAAGAGGAGATATAGTGAAGACATTGGACAGGTAGGTAAGGACCCAAGAAAATATGGCACTGAGAAGGTGGACAAGATGAGGGACGGTGGAGAAGAACAGAATAATAATAATCCTTGCATTTGATATAGCACCTTATCACGTCTTCGAGACATCTCAAAGGTTGTCGGCCATATTGAAATAACTTTTTATCGTGAATATTTTAGTTCAGTTTTTTCTTCATGGGTTTAAAAATATTTTAGTGAAAAATCCATCTATTGTGCAAGGTAATTACTATTTTTACGTTTGAGCGTTATCGGTTTAGACTCGTAGGAAATTCAGACCTCGTTAGCGGTGTCATTTTGTGACTCCAGTATGAGATTTTACGCAGCCCCTTGTGCAACATCCTCTATAATTCCCGCTTGTGCGTTATAAACACCACACTATCTTGTGATAGTGGTTTAGAGTATAATTGGGGAACTTCATTTTAGGGAATAATAAGGGAAAGGTGGCAGCTATTAATAAAATGTGAGAGGCCATTAAAGGCTAGACTGTATATACCGAGGACTGCTAAATTTAAAAAGGAACTAAGTTTAGGTTTGAGGGTTTTAAAAGTGGAAGCTACCGGCTGACCTTGCACTATATTTTTCCCCATCAAGTAATTTTAGATTCCTCCCCCATCTCCATTAAGTAGCAGCAGCGTGGATTAGGGGCACTTTTTGTGCATCTGTTAGACAATTTAGATTGGGTTTTTGGAAAATTCTTAAATACAGCCTTAATTTGAAATTAAGTTTTTGGCACTTAATTTCTCTGGAGATATAATAATTATGGCATTTCACATCACAAGGATGTCACAAAGCATTTCACAAGATTCACCTTAAAGTGTAATGACTGTATATTTTAGTAAAATTGGAGCCAATTTGCACACAGCATTGTCACAAACAGCCATCAAGCGAATAACCAATTTTATTTGGTGGATTGTTGGCCAGGACACCAGGAGAAACTCCAATTTCTTTTCAAAAAGTGCTGTGGGATCCTCCATAGGTCTGATTTCCGGTCAAAATATGGACGTCTTGGTTTTAGAAATAGTTGCCCTTCAGTGGCCCAATTGTGGCCATAACTCATGCAAATTACTGGAGTTTACAACTTGGGTCAATGACAGACAGAGCAGAGCGTAAACGCTCCTTGAGATTGGGTGCAACCTCCAACAGTTTAGGAAAGCTTAGTGGCAACCTGGCTCGGTTGTTAGCACTCCCGCCTCTGAGGCAGACAGTTGTGGGTTCAAGCAGTCGCAACACTTTACAGTATATGCGATATAGGACTTTGAGACATCCTGATGACATAAGGAGCTATATTCAAATACAAGGATTATTATAAAGAGAACAGAGATTTGATGCTGAATGTCTTTCAGGTTATACTGAAACTCTCTGTCCAGCACCTTGGGACGTCCTCCTGGCGTGAAAGGAACTAGACAAATGTAACTTTGTTGTTGTATGCTGAGAATGTAAGTTTAGGAAAAGAAACACATTGATCTTGTGGGGTGTGCGGTCATGCTCACCACCACACGTGAGTTTGATTTCATATTCTACGTTTGTTCAGCTGATGATTCATTTGGTTATGTCACTCCCTCCCTGGAGTGAAACTGGAGTGTTGCAAGTCTGGAAGGTTGTAGGTTTATTGATCTTCCTGTGTGCTGGGTTATCAATCTCCGTAAGGTGGCGCTGTTCCAGAAGGGGTCACTGGATCGTGAGCAGGATTACGAACACGAGCTGAGTTTCTCTCCTTCCTTGTCCAGGCATTGAGATCAACTAATGGCCAGGTGTTAAGTTGTGGCAAATGTAAACTGGAAATCACTGCATTAATGGTGACTCACTTTTTAGCTAAAATTGCATGCTTTGCTACCAAAATTTTTGCCAAATGTACTTAAAAATAGTGTTGTGCATTTGTTTGTTCAACTGTTGGAACTTAATACGTAGATTGCCACTTATTATCCAGCCATTGTTTCACATGCCAGTTAAATCACATAAATCATGTTCAGGGCGTTTCTGCAGTGTTAGGCTGTTAATGTGCGAGTTTAATTAAATTAATTAAATTAATTAAATTAATTAAATTAATTAAATTAATTAAATTAATTAAATTAATCAAGAGCTTGCAGCTTTTGTTTAGAAAACAAGAGAAAATGAAGGAGATTGTAATTTGAAGTTGCTGATCCTGGAAGAAACCGTGATGTAATTCTATTTTATTGGTATTATATTGTTGGTTTTGTCAGTGTGTGAATGGACACTGTTTGTTGACAAGGGTGCGGACATTACTGCACTAACTGAATCTGTTGGCGAGGATGGTGACCTCAGTACCAGCTGCCGAGAGTAATAGAATCAAATTTGTCCCAGTGTGTTTATAAATAACTAGTTCAATACAGTACCAGATGTATCATTTATAATATAATTTCAGTTTTCTTTGCAGATGTCGATTTAGTCCTGTATTAAACTTGTATGTTCATAACTACTGCATTTATTTCAAAAGTATTGCATTTCAGAAGTACTCCCTGAGTGTTCACCAGATTCACTCAGTGTTATGTTAACGGAATCAATATACAATCCTTATCCTGTAGTTGTAATATTATTACCATTCTTGGACTTTATCCGCTCATGCTCCTCTTCCTTATGTACATTGTAGTCAAGAGAGCATTTTCTGACCTCTTAGAGGTCAGAAAATGACCTCTATGTAATCTGAGAATGAGAATGAAAATGACCATCCTATGTAATCTGACCTCTTAGAGGTCAGATTACATAGGATGATCCCAGAATATACTTTGTGAGCATTTATTGAACCAGCATTGGATTCTGTCTGCAATCTCACTGTTTGGAATAATAATGTCAATAATAACAAGGGGATGTCTATTGAAGCCGAGAGGTGAAGGGACAGTCCGCTGTTTAACCCGGTCCTTGCCATTCAGCAGTCTGATCAAGGTGTTCATGTGAGAGCAAATTGGTACAGTCGGTTCACTCGTCTTCCGAGTAAATGAGTCTGAACTGTCAAGTTTCTTGGACGTTGAAAACCTTTTGGGTAGTTTGATGTTACTTATTTAGTTTTGTTGTACTTTTTTGCAGGTTTCAAAAGAGGTGGGGACCCAGGCATGCCAGAACCCAGTCTTCTGAGGTAAATGCTTGAAATTGCCAAGAATTGCTTAATTTAATGACATGTGCAGAATGCAGAATTCATATATTAGTCGAGTGAACTTTGCAAATGATATGTAGTAAAATAACTTTGAGGTTCCATAATACTGCACTTTGGGTGCAGTTTTAAAGCTACACTTTTCAAATAAGAAATGTCCTTCTGCTCTTTATCTGATCGAATCCTTCAGAAAACCCCACCTAACCATCTTCCAGTTAAGCATCAAGCTGTTTCTTAGAAGTTTCTACAATTAATTGTATCACTGAATTGTGTTTGGGGAAGGTGTTAAGCAAGTTACCCTTATTTACTGTATCAACAAAGTTATAGATGCAGTTACTATCAGTTATAACGGATAATATGCAGCACATCTCATATGATGGCATATTATAATTATTTTTAATATAATTTTAGTATTCCCTTTTATTTTTACTGAAGACTGTCGACCAATCTTTTAACATAGATACGATTGTTAAACATCATTGCATCTTCAAAATGCTTCACATGCAATGAACACACTTGTATTAAATTGTATTAAAAATGATGAAAATACCCTAATTTTATTCATAAATGCTTCAAATCGTTATTATCATAGAATCATAGAATCATACAGCACAAAAAGAGGCCATTCGGCCCATCGAGTCTGTGCCGGCTCTTTGAATAGAGCAATTAATGTCAATCCCACTCCGCAGCCCTTTCCCCATAACCCTGCAAACCCGTCCTCCTCAAAGACCCATCCACCCCATTTTTAAAAGTTGTTATTGAATCGGCCTCCACCACCCTTTCAGGCAATGCATTCCAGATTTGAACAACTCGCTGCGTGAAAAAATTTCTTCTCACCTTCCCTCTGCTTCTTTTAGAAACTATTTTAAATCCGTGACCTCGATTCACTGACACACCCACCAGTGGAAACAGTTTTTCCCTTTCTAACCTATCAAATCCCCTCATGATTTTGAAGACCTCTATTAGGTCTCCTCGTAACCTTCTCTGCTCCAGTGAGAATAATCCTGGCCTCTCTAGCCTTTCCTCATAATCAAGGTCCCTCATTCCTGGTACCATCCTCGTAAATCTCCTCTGCACCCGTTCCAATGCCTTAACATCCTTCCTATAGTGTGGTGCCCAGAACTGGGCGCAGTGTTCTAACCAGTGTTTATATAGGTTAATCATAACCTCCTGACTCTTGTACTCTATGCCCCTATTTATAAAGCCTGGTATCCCATATGCCCTTTTTACAGCTTTATCTACCTGTCCTGCCACCTTCAATGATTCATTTACCTGAACCCCCAGGTCTCTCTGTTCCTTCACCCCCCTTAAGATCGTATTATTTAGCCTATATTGCCTCCCCTCATTCTTTCTTCCAAAATGCATTACCTCGCATTTCTCACATTGAAATTCATCTGCTATGTGTCTGCCCATTTTACCATTCTGTCTATGTCTTCCTGCAGTTAGCTACTATCCTTCTCACTGTCTACTACCCTACCTAACTTTGTGTCGTCTGCAAACTTGGAAATGGTACTTGCTATACCCAAGTCCAGATCATTTATATATATTAAGAAGATCAGTGGTCCTAATACCGATCCCTGGGGGACGCCACTGTACACTTCCCTCCAGTCAGTTATATTTTAGGCTCAAAATTCTCATAGTTTCAACCTTAACACCATTGTCTTAAAATCTAAGATTGGGTAACATTTGTGAAATCGTAGGTTCAACCATAATTTTTAAAACCGGGATTTTTCAATACTTATCCAAAAAATCAACTTCCCAGTTAAGGCTGAAATTAAGATTCTTCCAAAATTCTACATGATCTTAATCATAAAATACTAGTTTTAAGAATTAAGACCATGATATCCTCAGTTGTAGTTTACAGAATTCTTGATGATCACGCTGAATAAAATAATCCTATAGAATGTTATGGGTTTGTTACTAGAAAAGCAGAATGGGAACAGCACCAGTGCCTGACATGGGAAACATTTTCTTGTTTGCCATTTATTTGCTTTGTTTCCCTTTTTATTTATTATTCTTAATTATTTGTTATTTCCTTTCCCAAATGCAAGGATTATTATTATTATTAGCTGACTCTTCTGCTAACTCTCCCATCTGAGACTTGGTTCCAGTGGAGGCAAATCATATCCATAGCACATAGTGAGATTGAAATCACTGACCATTGCAAAGAAATAAGGGTAGATACCACTTCTATTAGCCGATATCATCAGGGATGATGGCAAGTGTGCAGCAAATGACCCTTGGCTAGGATGAGGAATATTAGCCTGAATTTCCAATGCTGATTACTATCCAGTATGCACTCTTGTTATATGTATTGTGGCTGTCGGGCAAAGATTGCACTGACCTGACTGTGATATGCTTTGGTGGTGCAGTCTTCCTACATTTCACTGTCTAGCTTCACACATGAAGAATGGCACTAGGTACACTGCCAGATGGTGCTTAACCTCCACAGAGCCATATGGCATCATGAGTCAGCACCTTCAGCAGAGCCAGGGAGGAATTGGAGCAGAGAAATATGAAAGTTGTTCAGCATTTCTTTTGCGACAACTAATTAAACATGACTCAGTGTGTGAACAGTTGTTTTGAATGTCACACCAGTTGTGTTTCACTTTGAAGCTGTAAAGTTAGTGTCAGTTCTGCAGTGTTACTAGGAATTCAATAAAGTGGAATTTGTACATTGTGCCACTTCAAATAAGAAACAGTACCATCTGAGATGACATCAATGCTGCGTTGTAAATTATGCTAGTTGCAGGTACAGTAATAATGCTGGGCAATATTGCAGCACTTTACTGTGTTGAATTTTGCACAACAAAATAAAGAGGTTCAAGTGCAATTTATTTGAATTACAATGAAACTTTCTAACCATTGCTTAATTTTCTGTGTGATGGTTCATCAAAATGTACAGTCAAACAGAGCAGAAGCGACGTCATGAGATTTGCTTTTTCCTAAAGTGGAATGTTTCATTTCCCTAGCAAAATGGGCACTACATTCAATAATAATTACTCTAAAGTAGTTTGAGACTTTTCAACGTGGGACGTGTTATAAAAATACAAGTTCTTTGTTTGCTAACATTTAGGGTGTTTCAGTTGGTTCCACGTGGAACCTGTTGAAACTTGTATAATTGAATTGTTGCCACAGTCCTGGATTTTAAACTCATTACTTGTACATTAGTTGAATATTTGCTGGGATGAAATTATTACAGAAGTACACAGCAATGGACATTAGTTCTGGCAGAGATCCAAATGCAGTGAGATTCACTGAAACTAAACAACAATAACATTTAGACAGTTTGTATAAATGCATCCACATCAATTCCGTTCAAATAGCTTAGTGAATATAAAGAAAACCATTTCTCTGACAGTGTTCAGAAATAGGAAAGTAAAGCCAGAGATTATGGAGTCCAGCAGCTCAATGGTTAGTGCACTTGCCTCGTAAGCAAGAGAACTGGGTTTGATTCCCGGCAGGGCGAAATGTTGGGCAAATTTCCTTACTCCACAAACTGCTGTGCACCTAGCACAGGGGAGGGCAAAAGGTGGCCCGCGGGCCATATCCAGCCCGCCAAATGATTCTATCTGGCCCGTCATTGCGTCTAGCAATAGAAAAAATTATAGTTCGTTCAGTGCCAGAAAGTCGTATTTGAATCTGACCGGGAAAATCAGCCAATCACACTGCTTAGTTGTGCGCAAGTGTTGAATCAGGCTGACGTCAGAAGTGTACGGATCGCGAAATTTTCAAACGCGAGTGTGCGGCAACCGCGGCAATACTTTTCACTGAAGAGAACGTTAATTCGAAATGAGTTTATCAAAGAAGCGGAAATTGGATGCTGAAAGCTGAATATTCAACAAAGAATTGACTTCTGGAGATTTTTTTAGCAGTGTGGGTGGAAAATAAAATAAAAATAAATTAAAAAATAAAATGAATAAAGAAAATAAAAACAGTGTGCAGTTACAAAACAAAGTAAGCAATTTTGCATGTTTTTTACTGGCACTTGATGAGAGTTGTGATGTCAAAGACACACCAAACATTTTGAGTTCACAGAAGAATTGGCATCAATGCAGTCAATGAAAGATACAACAACAGGAGAAGACTTTTTGGAGCCAGTAAATAAGTGTATCTTAAAATTAGGAGTGGAGTGGAAAAAATTGGTGGAAGTGACCACCGATGGAAGCCCAAATCTGACAGGCAAAAATGTTGGGTTACTGAAAAGAATTCAAGATCAAGTCAACGAAACAAATGCAGAACAGAATATTGTTTTTCTACACTGCATTATCTAGTGTCTCTGTCGTGGACACAGTTACGAAAGTGGTCAACTACATTTGAGCAAGAGGATTAAACCACAGGCAAATTGTAACTCTGCTTGAGGAATTGGAATCTGAGCACATGGATGTTCTGTATCGCACGAATGTAAAATTGCTTAGTTTAGGAAAGGTCTTGAAACGAGTGTGGGAACTGAGAATAGAAATTGATTTATTTTTGGACATGAAACAAAAAGATTCAGATTTCCCACAGCTGAATGATGGGAATTGGCTCTCTGATTTCGCATTTGCCGTTGATATCATGGGCCACATGAATGAACTGAATTCAAAATTGCAAAGGAAGGGGGCCTTTGTGCACGATTTGTATTGCAGTGTGCAGTCATTTATGACGAAATTATTTATTTTATCGCGTCAGATAGGAAACAGGCCTTTGGCCACTTTCCAACTTTGCAGCAGATTACTGTTTGCGATCAAAGCCTTAAAAAGTATACTTCGTCACTACTTGACCTACATGCCGAATTTTCTTGCTGATTCCAAGATTTCAATTTGATCGAAAATGAACTGTCTTTGTCTCTTCACCTTTCTCATTTGATGTTGACAAATCTCCATTTGACCTCCAACTCGAGCTTATTGACCTGCAAGGTGATCCATTGCTTACAGAGCAATTCAAATCAGTGCCACTTCCCAGTTTTTACGCCTCTCTTAATGAATGTACCTTTCCAAAAATAAAGGCTCATGCCTGAAGGAAGCTTGTGCTGTTTGGATCAACATACATATGCGAGGAAACATTTTCTGTGATGAAATTCAATCAAAACATAGATCTGTGATGACTGATGACCACCTTGCCTGACTCCGAGCCGAGGGGAGCAGGGAGGTGGCCGTAAGCACTGTCGCAAAGGAAGGTTTTCAGGCGGGACTTGAAAAAGGGGAGAAAGGGGGCAAGGCAGATGGATTGAGGGAGAGTGTTCCAGAGTTTTGGGGGGGTAGTGGCTGAATACGCGATCTCCAATAGTGGAGCAGAGGGTGCAATCGACATGTAGAAGACTGGTCCAATTGAGCGGAGGCGCTGGGTGATAGATTGCGGGTTGAGGTCAGAGAGGTAGGGAGGTAGGCAGGATGAGAAGGGTCTGAAAACCAACAATGATTAATGATTAAAATGATTAATCGTCAGTCTTGAATACTGATTCAATGTGACTTTCATGTGTTATCAATGTTAGTTTTACTCATGAATTGTTTTGATTAAGTATCATCCTGGCTCAGTTGGTAGCAATTGTGCCTTTGAATTCAAAGGTTGTGGTTTGAATCCTCACGTCAGGACTTTGAGCTTAAGGTCTAGGCTGACGCTCTGCTGCATTGTTGAGGTGCGATCCTTCAGATGAAACATGAAACTTGGGTCTACTTGGCCTGTTGAGGTGGACATTAAAAATCCTATGACACAGTTCAGAACCCTGGGTAACAATTTCTCAGATAAAATATTGATCATTCACTTCATAGTTGTTTGTGGGACATTGCTCTGCACAAATTGACTGCTGCATTAACTTACAAATACACAGTCATTATACTTTACAGAAAAACCTGTGTGACGTGCTTTGAGATGCTTTGACTTGATGAGGATTAATTATTTAGTATAATGAAGTAGATAATTTAATACTTGTCCATTCCTCTCCCCCACCCCCCCCTCTCATACCTATCTATTAATATCAAACCAATTCTGAGGTACCAATCAAACAAATTCTCTTTTTAGGAGCCAGTCTTCTAGATGTAACCCTACTTCACGTATCATAAGAGTGTATAAAAAGAAATTAGTTAAAGGAAGCTTTATACAGTGACTTTGCCTTCAAAAACTGTTCAGTTATATTTCTACATAGTTTTTTTGAAAATGGAAATCCGTAAAGATGGCTGTTCTTGTAGCATGTAGAAAACAGTGAAATAAATGGAGTAGTGGGGGTCGATGCAGATTAACTGTGTTTATTTTCTATTGTTTACAGTTTGTTGTGGGGATGAAAGGTGGATCAACCCAAGATGCAGCAGAGAATCTACACCTAAACCCCTTGCTGATTGGCAACACCATTTGGGAAGAACAGATCAATGGAATTGATTGATAAATCAAACGCCTAGGTTCACCATGTTACTCTTGTTCAACACGAGCTGTTTCAGGGGAAATCCTACTGAGCCTCTTGTACTGAACTGTAAACCTGTCAAAGTTATGTAAATTCATTATTTCTGGGAGGACACCAAACTGTTTCAAAAGAAATCAAAAACAAAGAAACGTTCTTACAACTGTATCTGTCTAAAAATTACTGTTGCGATTTACCACATGCACATTTGTGACTTATGATTTAGAAATTTTACACACACCCTTAAACTATGGACCACATTTTATATTCTCGCGTCCTCTGAAGATTCTAACGTTATTTAAATAGATTACAACCTTTTGTTTAAAAAAAAGGCACGTGTCATTTTGACAGATTACTGTTCTAAGACCTGAATGTGGTTTTAGGAAATTGTTATGTTTCAAACTTTGATTTGACAAAGGTTATGATGAAAGTATAAAATGGAAATCAATCAGTTTAATAGTTTACATTGCAACCTCAATCCATGTGTATGTTTCTCTGCTACTCATTAAATTGTAGTACTTTGTACATCAGGTTGCGTAGATTGATCCCATTTTCCAATATCCTTGACCAGAGTAGTCCGATGAAATCATGGCCCCCGCGCCCCCTCTATTTCATCTGGCCAACCTGCTCGCTCCATAACCCATCAATGTTATGTTTCTGGAAGGGAAACACAAAAATATTGCTTATGTGGTCCATGGAGGTTTCTCAAATGGGGCATCCAGCCCTGAGTAGCCAAAAGGTTGGACCACCCCATCCTATACCACTGTATCAGCACAAGCTGTATTCTGCTTCCTCGTGTATTATGAGCTGTTATGCTAAAATCTCTTGTCAAAACAGGAAAGTACTTAAAATAACCAGGTTTTAAAAGTAAAACAAATCTTGTGTGAAATTTTTAACACTTGTTTATGGTTTGACACACAGTACCACACTGTATTTTCAATTATTGCTGTTCCACGTTTTGGTTAATTTTGACATATCTGCTGTATTAACACTGGAAAAGATAATAATAATAATCCTTGCGTTTGATATAGCGCCTTATCACGTCTCCTAGACGTCTCAAAGCGCATCACAGACTATACTGTAAATTGAATTGACTGCATATTTTATGGGTGAAACGCGGAAGTCAATTGTGCCAGCAGCATCCCACAAACAGTTGTGGATTGATTGAACAATGTATTATTATTAAGACAATCTTGGGAGGCTAAGGACAACCTTGAATCCAAAGTTGAGGGAATCCGCTCAGCTGCCTCTGCCATTCCATCTACTACCCCCTCCCCATCTCCCTCTCGGCCCCTACCCATCTCTCCTTCCACACCTTCGAACCTGTCTTACACTCCTCTCTCATCACTACTATAACCGGCATGAAACCAACCACCTACTCCCTCGACCCCATCACTACCCCTCTGATTACCTCCCAGCTCCACCTCCTTGCCCCTCTACTCACAGACATCATAAACCTCCCCCTGTCCACTGGTACTGTTCCCGCCCCATTGAAAACTGCTGTCATTACTCCTATCCTTAAAAAACACTCCCTGGACCCTTCTCTACTCCCTAACTACCTCCCCATCTCTAACCTCCCCTTCCTCTCCAAGATCCTGGAAAGAACTGTTGCTTCTCAGCTTCACTGTTTCTTCTCCCGCCACTCCTGTCTTGAACTCCTCCATTCGGGCTTTCATGCCACCCACAGGACAGAAACAGTGCTGGTCAAAGTGACAAATGACATTCTGTCCATCTGCGACCAGGGATCCCTCTGCCTCCTCATCCTCCTTGACCTCTGCTGCTTTTCCACACCGTCGACCACTCTATCCTCATCCAACACCTTTCGTCTCACCTCAACCTCCATGGATCTGTTTCAGATCGTACCTCTCACGCCACCTCCACTTCATCTCTACAAACGGTCTCTCCTCTAGCTCGTGGTGCGTTCCTCCGGGCTCTGTTCTTGGTCCCCACCTCTTCATTATCTATATGCTCCCTCTTGGTGACATACTCCACAAACATGGGGTTAACTTCCACATGTATGAGGATGACACCCAATTCTCCCTCTCTATCTCCACCCTTGACACCAGGACCACTGCTGTGCTGACAGAATGTCTGTCAGACATCGTCCTGGATCAGAGCTCACTTTCTTCAGTTGAACGTCGACAAGACCGAGGCTCTCCTGATTGGCTCCCGCCAGCGCCTCCGCACCTCATGCACTGACAGCATCACCATCCATGGTTACACACTCCATCTTGCTAAGCCAGTCCAGAACCTTGGCATCTTGTTTGACCCTCAACTATCCTTTCTACCCTACATCTGCGCCATGACCCGCTCTGCCTTCCCTCACCTCCGCAACATCGCCCGGCTCTGCCACTGCCTCACACCGCAGGCCGCCGAAACCCTCATACGCTTTCATTACATCGAGGCTTGACTATGCAAACTCCCTGCTTGTCGGCCTCCCCAACTCCTCCCTCCACAGGCTGTAGATCATCCAGAACTCTGCAGCCCATGTCCTCTCCCGCACCAGACTCCGTGACCTATCACCCCCGTCCTTGCCCGACTCCACTAGCTTCCCATCACACAGAGGATACAGTTCAGGATCCTGGTCCTCACCTTCAAAGCCCTCCATGGTCTTGCTCCCCCCTACCTCTGAGACCTCCTAACCCCCTACCATCCTGCCCGCTCCCTCCACTCAGCGGGCTGGGTCTGCAGTACACCAAGGCACTTCTGGTGACAGACCAGGAAGTTGCCAGGACTTTGAGGGACAGACCGGTTACTGGGGGCAGGGATATGCGTTCCAGGACGTTACCCTGCGTGAAGTTGCATCCAAGTTGTTGTTAATGTTGATTCTTTCCCCGAGGCTTCTGTATATCAAAGTTCTAATAGGGTGGTTCCAGCTGGACAAACAAGCGGAGCTTGCTAGACTGTGCTTTCAATGGCAGACTTATAGTTTTACTTGTTTGAACTCCAGAACTTTCGCAGTATCCCAACACACACTGTAGGGACGCCAACCTCGAATCTTGCCAATTAAACTATGTGCCTAATTCTCTCCGGAATTAGGAAATCCAGTGCATTTCTCTAGGGGTGCGCATTACATTCCAAACACAGGGAAATTCCCATGTGCATGTGACATACATATGCAATGCTGGAGCTTGAACAGACTATGAAGCAGTTCTCTAGGTGCTTATTGGCTTTAAATGGTTGGCTAAATTTACTACTATAAGCATAGAAACGTAACATTAGTTGAAAGCTGCAACAAGACATTTGTCACAGTAATTGTGATTATTCCTGACAAAAGCACACTTGTGTTTTGGTTACTGGTCATTTTCCCTGTGACTGAAGATTTATCCCAGTCGTGAGTCAGTTACTGGAAGGAAATTCAGTATTTATTAATTGATAACCACTGTCTGAAGTGCATAGATATGGGACAATTCAAAGAATGTTCTTTGTTCTGCGCAGAAAAAATAACTTACATCAACAACCCGCCTTTATTTAGATATTGTTAGAACCCAATAAAATACTCTGACTCATTCATTCCTCTGGCCGGAACAATTTGTCAAGTTTTGCTAGTCTGTGCCAGTTTCGCTGAGCAACCCGCAGCATATAATTCTGACACAGAGCAATTGCTTTTGGCAATCAGGAATGTTTTTCATTAAAGATATCGTACACTCTTTTAACAGGCTGAAACCCAAATCACATTTTATTTATTATTTTGTCTTTTCTCCATTCTTATGCAGGCCTGTAACTTGTCGTTAAACAAGAAGATTGACACACATTTTGTTTCTCATTAACTTCCTCCCTCCCTCCTTAGCTTAGTCTAATGAAGCAGAAATCTTCTGTTTCTGCTGAGGCCATGTAATTTGGGGTAAGTTGGTAGCTATCCAAGTTAGAAGGTTGAAGGTTTAACCTCATGATGTATACAATGCAGTCCTGAGAGAACACTATTGGAAGTTTCAACCTTTTGATGATACTTTAAAGCAAGTTTATATCCATTTGTTCTGGTGTTTCAGGTAGATGTAAATGCTCCTATAGCGTTATTGTAAAATAATATTTAATGTCCCCAAGATCCTTGCTAATAAACTTTCCTTGGAAACTTCACCAAAAAAATAGACTAACTTGTCATTGCTGGAAAAGTTATTGAATGCTATTTGTGGGACATTGCTGCTATAGACTAACTACTATGTTTTCTACATAATAAGTCACTACGCTTCTCAATAACTCATTGTTTGATGCATTTTGAGAGAATTCAGTGATAAGATCTTGTATCAAATGCAATAATTTATTCTAAATAAGATTTTTATTTGATCTGCAGATTGGCGGATACAGGGGGAAACCCATCACCATGCAAACACAGGATCCAAACATCCAAACACAAAGTTCCATGTATGTATGCCAATTCTGTGTATGGAATGCATACTGTTTCCCTGGAGGGACACACCCTGTTTGCCTTATTCTTGAGTGCATTCCATCCCACAGTCACTTTGCCTTGCTCCCTCCATTGCCTCCTCCAAGATACGTCTCAAGACCCACTGCTTCGACGGCATCTTCGGACACCTCCTACCCCTACTTTCTTTGCCTTCCACCCTCCCTGATCCCAACCCCCTGCTAGAGTCCAAATCCCTGACTATCCAGCGCCTTGGAACTTCCTCCCAATGTGAAAGTCGCTTTACAAATGTAATTTGTTATTGTTGTGTATTGGTAAGAGCCAAGTCTTGGAGGCCCCATTGTGGAATTGGGGTACTGCTGAAGTCTCACCAGCTAAAGCTTGTCATTGAGGGCATTGCCTGGCAAGCTTCCTGTTGCTTGTCCAGCTACAACCACCCCTCCTGTTTGGCCTTTGGCTTGTAGAGCTGAATGGGAAGAATTCTGCTCCCAGTAACCAATCTGCTCCTCCAAGTTCTGCTAATGAGTCAGACTAACTGGTCTATCATCAACAGTGCTCTGGAGTACAACAGACCTTCCTGGCTTAAGAACCAGAGTACTTAGACTGCCACAGAAGAATGATTCAATTCTGACATTCTGCTGTCAAGCATGTCACCTTAGGGTCCCAAGGTGCTGGACAAACAGAGTTTCAGACCCAAGCTGGGGGGCGGAATCGGGGAGGGTGGAAGGCAGGTTCTTGAGATGGGTTTTGACGGAGGCAAGGGAGGGGGTGAAATGGAGGGTCTGCGGGATGGAGAATTTGCCTGTTCACAGTGTGGGGGCAGAGTGGCAGAAGGCCACCCAGCAATAGTGGGGCAAGCGATGCGGGGGACGTGAAGCAGGACGGAGCCCACTGAGTGGAGGGAGAAACTCATCTGAAGCTAGAATGGTTTATTTGGCCATGAATCCCCAGCATAGTGATGATTTACTAGTTCTGACAGACATCTCACAAACTCAGACAACCACAACAAATTGCATTGAATATAGTACCTTTCGCGTTGGTAGGACTTCCCAAAGTGTTGGACAGTCATTTAGTTAAGAAAAATAAATGTTGTATGTTTGCTATTTGTATGTATATTTGAGCATCAATAAACATAGTCACTGCAGCTTGAAAGTGGGGAGAATATCGCGCACCTGAGGGAACGTAGCTGATCTGTGTAAACTGGGCCCTTGTGCTTCAGGTCAGCTGAAAAAGGTGTTAATGTTTTTTTTATTTCCTGCAATCTACATTTGATGGACCCAGGTTTGATAAATGAAAGTGAGATCTGTCGAATTGCATATTGTTGCATTGCATAATTTCCTTTTGTCACAACTTTAAGCTCCAATTCGAGACATTCAACTTGTATAGTCTGGACTGACGCTCCAGCACAATACTCTGGGAGCAATGGAAAGGTGAGTGTGCTGTCCTTTGAATGAGATGTTAAACTGAGGTCTTATTTGCCTGTTCAAGCGAACATTAAAGATCCCATTGA